CTTAATAAGAGAAGACATTGCTTTTAGTAAACTTATACCTGAAAAACCAAATTTAAGGACTTTTCCATCCCTATTAAGTATAGGTAACTCCAAATATCTAGGTCGAATTAACCACAAGTTGGGCTTTTTTCTTCTTCCTTCAGGCAAAAAGCTGTTTCAAGTTTTATTCTTCATATAATACTTTTAATTTTCTTCAGGAGTTAAGCGAAATACTGTATATCTAAGAATATCTTAATAAAATAGCGAAACAGTAGTTCAGACAGAGATGATCCTCAACGCTACAAGAATGTAAGGATATCCAGAACTACTCTGAAAGTCCAGTTAACACCCAAGTGAGGGTGACAGGTCTTCCTTACTCAGACACTGTCGGTTTAAGAGGCAGCATTTTCCTACCTTAGCTGCTTTGCAAGTGCCTAATTCCTTCGCTACGGCCGTGAAGAACAGTCTCAACGCCCTTCTCAAGACTCGTTTTTACCTTTTCACCAACTTAACGAAATAGCTTATCTGAGAAGAAAGTGCCCAGAGATGGAGCTTAGGACTGCGCCGTCTTGACGACCTCATGGTCTTCTCCAGCCGCCCCCGGAGTACCTCGGGGATGCAGCCCCAGACGCCACGGTACCTGCTCCAGGACGTAAACACCGCCCTTCTCTCCCCAGCCCTCCAGCAACTTCCTTCTCCCGGCCACGGCTTTGCGGGAGCCCATTGGAAAAGGAAGGATACCACATACCCTCGGAAGTAAGACGGGAGAAAGGCTTAAGCAGCTCCGCGAAGCTAAGGTGATTGAGACGAGTGAGCCGCTCGGCTTCGTCGCTGCACAGCGCGGCGACACAGGGGACGAAGGAGTCCGGGATTAGCTCCTGCACTGATTGTACACACTGGGCCATCGCCGCGGCAGAGGCAGCGGCGGCGCCCGCCCTCCGGCCCACCCTGAGAGGTGATCCTGCCGCTGCAGCAGCTACCGCCGCCGCCCGCCGGCCTGGCCCGGCCGGGCGGGGCCCCGAACGCAGTGGAGCCTAG